GGATCCCGGGTGCACGTCGTCACACCACTTGTCCGGCCATGCTGAGGCGGTGTCCCACATACAGCAACTAGAAGGATGTGCAACTATGACATACAAGTATCTACTGGGGCTTTGGGGAAACAAAAGGAGGAGGATTGGCAATAGATGTTAGCTCAGAGCCAGTCTTCCTCAGCAAAAAGAGGAGGATTAGCATGGATGTTAGCTGAGGGCTGATCTTCCTCACAAAAAAAAAAAAAAAAGAAAAAGATATATGCACCCCCATGTTCACTGCAGCATTATTTACAATAGCCAAGATATGGAAACAACCTAAGTGTCCCTCAACGGATGAATGGATAAAGAAATTTTGATATATATACACAATGTAATATTATTCAGCCATAAAAAAGAATAAAATCTTGCCATTTGTGACAACATGGATGGACCTTCAGGACATTATGCTAAGTGAAATAAGTCAGACAGAGAAAGATAAATACTGTATGATCTCTCTTATACGTGAAATCTAAAAAAACCTCAGAAACCCAAGCTCATAGATATGGAGAACAGATTGGTGGTTGTCAGAAGCAGGGGGTGAAGAGTAGGAAGGGTGAAGGGGATCCAAAAAACATAGAAGAGGGCCGACCCTGTGGCTTAGCAGTTAAGTGCGCACGTTCCGCTGCTGGCAGCTGGGGTTCGGAACCCGGGCGCGCACCGAGGCACCGCTTCTCCGGCCATGCTGAGGCCGTGTCCCACATACAGCAACTAGAAGGATGTGCAACTATGACGTACAACTATCTACTGGGGCTTTGAGGAAAAAAAAAAAAAAAAAGGAGGAGGATTGGCAATAGATGTTAGCTCAGAGCCGGTCTTCCTCAGCAAAAAGAGGAGGATTAGCATGGATGTTAGCTCAGGGCTGATCTTCCTCACACACACACACAAAAAAAACATAGAAGACAAATTAAAAATAAGAAAGTTTTAAGAAAGAGAAATGATGACAAAATATAGCAAATACACCCAAACAAAAAGATACCAATGGAGAAATGTTACTATAAATGTAGAATTCAACAAAAAAAGCACTTATAAGAGCAGAGTTTATTTTTTATTGATAAAAATTATGATCCACGGTGAGACTTAATTGTAATAATGCTTTATGCAATAAATAAAATAGTATAAAAAATACGATATCTCACAATACCATTAGCATGATTAATATTATTCATCAATTAATATTAATATCTATTGTCTAACTTTGTTTTCTGAAATTAAATCTTGATAGGCGTAATATATTCTCTAAGAGGTAATTTTTAACTCAGAGGCAGTTTCTTAAACAGTATTTACCAGGAAAAATTGATATAAAACTTCTAAAGGGCAATTGAAAAAAACAATCTTGGTAATAAACCATGCTCACAGTGAACTGCGAACTGATTTCAGATTACTTTACATAGAGGACAGCTTTATTCATGGCCACAAACTTTACCCCAAATACGAGGCCTTTGGTGACCTAATAGACTTGAGCAGAGACTGGATGGCCCAATACAACCTGCCTCTCCAACTGAAAGAATCTGGTGCATGTCCACTTCCTAGTAGAGAAACATGACTGGTATGATGACTTTCACTGTACAGCTTTTCTGTGCTTTGGATTAGATGTAGACGCAGGATGGTATTTGTAATGGAAAAAGCACAGGACTCAGAGTCAGGGGACCAGGGTTTCCTTCTTGACTCAACCATTTGTATGACCTTGGGCAAGTCACCTGACCTTGGTGTGCCTCAGTTTCCTCATCAGTAAAATGGGGATAATAATACCTCCCCACCTCACAGGCTGTTGTGAGGGTTATCTGTAAAAACAGATGACACACTTGGAGGCATTTTAACATCATAATACCTTCTCAAATGCAAGAGATTATTATCATTGTTAATAGTTTCATTCTCTTGTTATTCGTCTTGTGATCACTGCTATTATTACTATATTATTACCTGATTTTGACTATTATTATTGATACTGTTATTAGTAATGTTGTTACTTTCCCCTTCAAATGCTGACCTTTCTTGCAACAGCTTAGAGGGCAGTAAAGATATTAAGAGCAGACTACTTTTGGCTAAGTTATTCCACTGGTTACAAGTGAAGTCGACATAGGAGATTGCTCTCTTCCCCATACCCTCATACTCCGGAGCTGGCTAGTAATAACAGAAAATTTTTTCAGTGCGCAAAGTACCAACACTTAATAGAAAAAAAATAGAGAGAGAGAGATTGTTAATCAATTTGCATTAGAAATTAACAGAAATCTGGGAGAAGTGTGGAAAACCAGAGAAGCGGGAGATTCCTAAACTACGTGATGTGGAAGAGACAAAAGGTTTGTAAAACAAGGGAATATCAGATTTGAAGATGTTTTGAGTTTCTATAATGTAAATCCCCTGTCTTTCCAAATCTTCAGTAAAATACACTACCCACTAAAACAAATGGTGAGAGTGTTTCGTTTTACTTCGTTTTAAGGAAGTCAAGGAATGAACCGAGTTCTATGTTTGCTTGGCACAGTACAGAGGCAGCACTTGCCATCTGTGTGTGGATCTGCCTCCCCAGAACTTTGGGAAATACTGAGCACTTGCCGAGTGCCAGGCAAGCACCAGCTAGGTGCATTAAATGCGTTCTCTCCTTGCATTTACCTTGCATTGTAACATAACCCAAGTGTCAGAAATGCAAGAACAAGACCATTTATGAACTGAAATATGACAGTGGAAGGAGATCAGTGAGAGAGGTGACTATAAAAATGTGAACCTTGCCTCTTAACCTCCCACAATTCACAGAAGTCTTGGGGAGGACACCGTCTTCAGGACGAAGTGGAATCAGGGTTCTGGCCGATATCTTATCCATAGCTGAAAGGTAAGGAGACCCCACTTGGCATCTGGGTTACTTAACCTTGCAGTATTGTTGTCAGGAGATTACGCTGATAAAGCACTTGGCTCAATAGAGGGTCAAAAGTCAGTAGTTATATTCAAGATGTCTATATCTTTCTGTCTCCCAAACTTGGCAATTAGGATCCAAAGAAAAGGGCAATATCTTTTTCAATTAAATGACACCTCCTACCACCACCATGTGCCTAGCACAGTACTATGGATATAATAGACACTAAGTAAATACGTTTGTTGTTGTCGGGTTCTCAAAGTTCCCCAAATATGAACAGGTTCAAGGGCAGTATTAGTTATCTACGGATGCATAGCAAATTACCCCAATACACAGGTAGCTTAAAACAAGTTATTATCCCTTGAGAATTTAGGAGTGGCTAAGTTAGATGGTTGGGCTTAGGTCAAGATGTCAGCTGGGGCTCAAGTATAATCTGAAGCTTGGCTGGGGCTGGAGGTTCCATGTCTAAGGTGGCTCACTCACATGGTTGTTGGCAAGAGGCCTCAGGACCTCACCACCTTTCCACAGGGCTGCTCAGGACATGGCAGCTGGCTTCTCTCAGATCCAAGAGGTAGAGACTAAGGCAGGAGCTGCAATATTTTTTTATAACCTAAGCTTGAAAGTCGCATGCCATCTCTTTCCCTTTATTCTCATCAGAAGGGGGTCACTAAGTCTAGCCCACATTCAAAAAGAGGTGAACTAGGTTCCACCTTTTGAAGGAAGCACCAAATCATTTGTGGACATGTTTTTAAAACCGTCACAGGGATATAATATTTTGTAAATGGCGGTGTGCTCGTATGTGTCTATTAATAGATCCAAGGAACCCCCTGAGACTGTGACATAAAACCTTTGGAAATTCTCTTGTAATTTTTATCTCTGCCCCAAAAGATAAAACAACATTCAGGGCTCTTTCCAGTTCTAAGATGTTAAGTGCCTCCCTGAACAACATTGAAATCACTATTCCCTACAGATATGGTGCTCCTAGGTTGAATTCTGCCCATCATCTACCTGCTTGGTTTGGGGAAGAAAATTACACTGCTAGTGAGAATGCAAATTTGTGCAGCCACTACTGAAAACAGTATAGAGATTTCTCAAAAAATTAAAAATAGAAATACCATATGATCCAGCTACCCTACCACTGGGTATTCATCCAAAGAACATGAAATCAACAATTCAAAGAGATTTATGCATCCCTATGTTCACTGCAGCATTATTCACAATAGCCAAGATGGAAAGCAACCCAAGTGCTCATCAACAGATGAATGGATAAAGAAGATGTGGTATACATATACAATGGAACACGACTCAGGCATAAAAAAGACAAAATCATGCCATTTGCAACAACATGGATGGACCTTGAAGGTATTATGCTAAGCGAAATAAGTCAAACAGAGAAAGACAAACACTGTATGATTTCACTCATATGTGGAAGATAAACAAACACATGGATAAGGAGAACAGATTAGTGGTTACCAGAGGGGAAGGGGGTGAGTGGAGGGCGAAAGGGGAAAAGGGGCACATATGTATGGTGATGGAGAAAAACTAGACTATTGGTGGTGAACACAATGCAGTCTATACAGAAACTGATATATAATAATGTACACCTGAAATTTACAGTTATAAGCCAATATGACCTCAATAAAATAATTTTTTTAAAAAAACCTTGAATGCCAAAAAAAAAAATTCATTCTGTGGGACCCCTCTGTATGTTGAGGTGTGCTCCCTGACATCTGGTGGCCTGACTGATTGGAGACAACACCAGTGTGTCATGTGCAGCCATGGAGTGATACAAGCATAGGAGAAGTGACAGATGATTCTATCAGAGCTCAGAGAAGGATGGTGATGGGCACGCTGCTGCTGCTGCTGGGTCAGCAATAGTCATACACACACATATTCTTCTAACAATCAGACTTAACCTTTAAATATTTTTTTCCCACTTTGTCCCAAGAGGGATTTAAGGCTGCTTAATTTTTGTAAGTAGACCTTCTAGCTCATTGATAAATCAATTTCCTATTTTTAAGCATGAAGAAGGTAAGACATTTTTATTATTTTATGTTTAATAGTAAAACTTTCTTATATTACCCAACATTCTATTTTTTATCAAAAACTTAAGAAAAACAATTTGGAGAAATGCTTTTATTAAGCAATATATTTTATAAATTGATAGAATTTCCCACTGCATAGATAGCATACATTTTCATTCTTTGTATGTGGTTTCCCACTTTGATTCATCTCTTCTTTTTATCTTACATACTTTTGTTTTCCTTAGACTTGCCCAGTCAACGAATTCTTGTTTTAAATAGCTCATAAAAAGTATTTGGGAGTACTCATATGAAAATGATGGTTGTTTTCATAATTATGTCCATCTTTGTAGGATCCAAATCTAAAAAAAAATAATTGACATGTAAACACTGTAAGTATGTTCTTATGTAAAATTTCGACCATAGTTTATTGTGGTTGACAATGGATAAGACCAGGAGAGATGCAATCAATTTATAAAATAGCAAATAAACAAATAAAGGATTCATGCATATGGGAAAGGCAGACTAAAATTTTAACCTTCAAAGTCCTCTTTCCATGGTTATGGATCATTCCAAAAGCACAGCTGTTTAAGAATTATTGGCTGATAACATTGGTGAAAAATAAGTCTGCATTTTCTCTCTAGTCCTCAGTTTGAATAATATTCACTTTATAGGTAAAGGGATCATGAAACCTCAAATGTTATTCATGTTACATTTACACATATATAGATATATTTTGGCACAATTTCAAGTTCTAAGTCTTCTACAAGTGCTCAGGTGCTACAGATTAATGATTTACTTTACTGATGAATAATTAATTAATTATACAGCTTAGGTTGGTATGATGAAATACGAAACTAAGACCTGAGCAAATGAAGCCATTGACTTTCTTTTCTTCATCAGCAATTGTAATATTCAAATAACCTCCATACTGTAGAAGATAGGAGATCTGTTTACTTTGTCATCTCAAAACAATAATGATAAAGAATATTAAAATTTTGCATAACCTTTGAGTCTTCTATTCCATGATTAGAACTGAGTCCTAAGGAAATAATCAAGGATATGGCCAAAGATATAATAAGGAGCCCCTGGAAGACTTTTTATAATAATGAAAGAATAAATGTGCAAAAACAACTAACTTGTGTTAGCTAAATTTGGTACATCCATACAAAGGAATATTATGCAATCATTAAAAATATTTTCAGAAAAATACTTTTTATGGAAGGAAGTTCATCACATACTATTTGGATGAAAAAAATCAGATTAACAAATAGAATGAATACACATATACATATACACACACATACACATATATGTTTGACACATTTACAAAGATGAGATAAATGTGTGATATAGGTATATATGCATATTAAAAGCAAAGATGTATCCAAAAATATTACCAGCAATAACCTTTGACTTGCTTATCTCCCCACTAGAACATAAGATCCACAGGACAAGACTTGGTCTTATTCATCACTCTGTCCTCAGTATTGAGCACAAGGCCCAGCATGGTGCTGGCATCATGGTACTCAGTGAATATTTGTTGAATTAAGGAATGAGATTTTTGGTGAACCTAGTATTCTTTGATTGTTTCTATTTTATAAATTTTCATATGTATATACTTTGTAATAAAGAATTTTAAAATTAAGGCAGGACTTTTACTCATGCTTCTATTATTTTAATCATTAAACTGAGTGGGAAAGCAGATATAGCTCCCCTCACAGTTGGTGTGGATCACTCTGCAGTTCTGATTAGCCAAAAATATTTTATTTTGACTTCTCTACACTCCTGGTATATGAATAACAAGGAAATAGGGAACTCTTCTTCTTCCTGGATCTTCTAGCTTCCATTTAAGAAGTCATCTCAATCAGCAAAAGGAAGGAAACTTTTTATTTTACTTCTACTGTTACTATTACACATACTATTGTTGCTATTTTAGCTACTGGCTACTGAGCATTCACCATGCACTATTCTAAGAACTTTTATGTGTCATTGGAACCTCAAATAACCTTAAGAGTTAGGCATTACTATTTTTCCCATTTTGTGGATGAGAGATTTGAGGCTTGGAAAGGTTAAAGAAGTTGCCCACAGACACCCAGCTGTTCACTGGCAGGAATGAGGATGTGAACTGGGCAGCTTGACCCCAGACCCCACGCTCCTCACAATCCCACTGCACTTACATAGGGCGAGATCAAACACAGGAACGAAGCAAATCAAGACTTGGTTATAGCTCTCCTTACATTCACTGCCTACACTTTGGTACAGTTTTTTCTTGTTGTAAGGAGAGACAAGGAAGAAAAAGAGAATAGATAAATTTCATTTTTCCCTCAAACAAAATGAGGTCTGAGAAGTTTCTATAGCTATTAGCTGGTAAGAGTAGTAGAAATGTCAAATAATAGTAATGGATATGACATGTTCTGGGTTTGGTTTTGTGCAAACGTTTCCTCTCATTATCCAGTCATGGGAGGAGAATCGAGCACATACTCCAAATCACATGTTTCGCTGCAAATGGATTTCTCAGATAACCTCTATTTAAAACTAAACAAAACCCGATATATTTCACTTGGTAGAATATCTGCAATGGAAAGGCATCTCCCACTCTCCATAGTCTCAATACTAACTGCACATTAGAATAACCTGGAAAGATTTTCTAAAACCCAAAGCCTAGACAACCAAGAGGTGCTGATGAACCGGTCCTGGGTGGGGCCCAGGCAGTGGTAGTTTTTAAAGCTCTCCAAGAGAGTCTAATGTGCAGCCAGCACTGAGAATCACAGTACCCAACCATGCCCACAGGCTTCCTTCCCAGTTACTAGCTCTGTCACTGACTGCCATGTAACCTTAGTGAAGTTATTCCATGTCCTTCAGCCTGAGCTTTTTCACCTATAAAATGGGGACAACAAGAGTACCAACCCAGTGAAGATTAATCGAAATAACACACAGAGCACCCAGAACAGGGTCTGGGACATAGGACACTCAAATATGGTGTTAATGACAGTGATGGTGATGATGATGCCAATGTGATCTTTTTTACCAGAGCTTGGTCCTATAACATAGTTCTTTATCCCAAAAAGCAGGGACCATCACTTCAACCCAAGCAGGATTTGATCATCTTTACCATGAGCTCCCTTCCCTGAACGAAGCTCTAGAACCAAACACAATTTGTAGCTCATCGTGGGGTAATATTTAGGTCCCTAGAGGGGATGTGGTGCCTCATAACTGTAATCTACAATGCAAAGGAACTCACTCACCTGGGATTGAAATGAATTTTCTTGGGAACTTCCCTGCGGTCTGTGACCACTTTCTGGTTGTCTCTATAATTAATGGGGTCATCTGGGATCCTAAATTTAGCCATCTGAATTTCAGAGTCACTCAGTTCAGCATGGGAGATTCTTGCATAACCCAATCTGTGGCAGAAATAGAAATGGTTTGTAAAGCTTTTATCATCGTACAGAAATCTGATGAGATCTAGTAGATAACACCTTCGTTATTAAGCCAATTTCCCATTTGTAACTCTACTCTGTACATCACTAGAATTAACTTGATTTATTACTCTAAATATTTATCAAAATATTGCTTTTATGATACAAATGAATAAGGAACATGCACAGAAATTTAATTAACTAAACATACTTGACAACCTTACTCTACTTTTCTATACTAATGAATATTCTGTCTATACAAATTGCCTCTTACCCAATTATGTTTTGAGTCAATAAGAAAAATTCCTCAGAATGATAGCAGCATATGTCTAAATTCTTTCTTACCTTTAAAAATTCAAATACCACATGCAAATTTTCATCCACGCTAACAAGTCTAAAATAAAAGATTTTATATTTCTGAAAAGATGGCACATGCTGTTTTTTTTTTTTTTTACCAAGGAAGATTAGCCCTGAGCTAGCATCTGTTGCCAATCTTCCTCTTTTTTTTCTTGAGGAAGATTAGCCCTGAGTTAACATCTGTGCCAGTCTTCCTCTACTTTCTATATGGGTCACCACCACAGTGTGGCTGACGAGTGGTGTAGGTCGGCACCCAGGATCCGAACCTGCAAACCCAGGCCACCTAAGCAGAATATGCCGAACTTAACTGCTACGCCACAGGGCTGGCCTCTGGCACATCCTGTTTTTGCTTAGAGCTTTTGGTTCTCCAGGAAATCAAAGCACTTTATAGATGTTATCCCAATAATTATGGAGAAGCTCAGGTGGAAAAACTGGGGAATTGTGAGCAGTCAAGAATTCATTTTATTTTATTTATATTTTGCCTCTTCAAAAGAAATAATTGTCAGCTTCAGTTACTCATTATTCAATGAACAAGTATACATCAAGTCCCTACTACATGCAGGCATTGTTCTAGGTACAGGGAGTAAACAAGAAACAAATTGAAGCCCTTTCTCTCATAGAACTTTGTTTCTAGTTGGGGAGGACAAATTAAATATGCATGGATGTGGGCCGGCCCCGTGACCTAGTGGTTAAGTTTGGCACACTCCACTTCAGTGGCCTGGGTTCAGTTCCCGGGCGTGGACTTACACCACTCATCAGTGGCCATGCTGTGGCGGCATCCCACATACAAAATAGAGGAAGACTGGCACAGATGTTAGCTCAGGGCAAATCTTCCTCAGCGGAAAAAAAGCAAAAATGCATGTATGTGTGTATACGGTCTATCAGGTGGTGATAAGAGCCTAAGTACTATGGGGAATAAGTGGAGGAAAGAGGACGGGGAATGCTAGGTGGCAGTGGTTGCTATCTTATAGTGGATGGTCAGAGCACACCTCTCAGAAAAAGTGACATTTGAGCAAAAAATTGAACGAAGTGAGGGAACAAAGCATACAGACATTGGAGGAAGGGAGTTCTAGGGAAAGGGAACAGCAAATGCAGAGGTTCTGAGGTAGAATGTTCTTGGCTTTTCCAAGGACCCACTCCACCATGAGTGGAGTGGAGTGCATAAGGGGGAACATGCTAGGAGGTGAGTCTGCACAGGGGGCCGGGGGTGGCAGATGATGCAAAGCCTTCCTTGCAGACCACTATAAGGACTTCAGATTTCTTCTAGAGTGAGATCGGAGTCCAAGGGGTTTTGTGCAGAGATACAATGGCTCCTGTGTAGAGAACAGACTCCACGGAAAGGGTGGAAGCAGGGAGACCAGTTAGGAGGCCGCTGCAATAATTTAGGTGAAAGATGATGGGGGCTTGAGCCACAGTGGTAGGAGGAGGAACTTAAAGCAAAGTCTGCAATGACATACAAAATAGAGACAGAAACACAGAGCCAGGCAAGCAGAGGCAGCAAGTCTGCCCGCTGTGAAGGGTCAGCAAAGAGGTGTGATGGCATCAGAATGGGCTCTGAGCTGTCTGACAGGTTAGTGTTGAAGCTCAGGGCCCAAATCCGTGCAGTTCCCTGTAATTCTAGGTCACTGTCTCCAGTAAATCTAAGTTATTTATTTCCCAAATCTCTAAGATCAAATTCTAACCTGTTTCATAGATACTGTCTTCAAAGGACCTTCCAAAAGTCCTTGACGATAAGGAACCTGACAATCCAAATCTTCTACTTAAACAGGGGACTCTCTCGTTGTTGTCCAATGAGTGCCTACTCATTGCCTACTAAGTGCAGGACACTGAATTAGATGATTGAGATAAAGTTAATAGAATTGATTTTGTGGACAGAAACTGAAAACCAGTTGTCCCTGATTTCATTAATTTGGGTATTTTCAACACTACCTTCCCATCTGTTATAGACTAAATGTTTGTAACCCCCCAAATTCATATGCTGAAGCTCTAACCCTCCTTGTAGCCATGTTTGGAGATGGGGCGTCTAAGGAAGTAGTTAAGTTAAATAAGGTCATAAGGGGGGGACTCTGATCCAAGAGGATTAGTGCCCTTATAAGAAGACATATGACGGAGCATGCATGCTCACGTGTGCTCTTTCCCTCTGTCTCTAGAACTGCGAGAAAATAAATTTCTGTTGTTTAATCTACCCAGTCTATGGTATTTTGTTATGGAAGCCTGAGCAGACTAATATATCATCTTTGACAGTCATATTTAGAGTGTGTGTGTGTGTGCGTGTATCTGCCCTCCCACTCTCCTAGGGAGAGGGAATAAAGGTCTCGGGCCACCAACGTACAAACAGAGCCCAGGGATTAGCAATTAGGAGCACTGGTACTATAAATATCGCTGTTCCTTGGCAACTAGCAATTTTTACAACTTGAATTTATACCTATTTCAGTGTATATCTTAAACTGTTTTCTAGAAATTCTAATATCCCCATTAAAACAACCACTTTAATATGAATTTAAACAGAAATAGTGTTTTCAATGTGAGATATCAAATACTTTACAAAACTAACACTTTAGCACGCTCCCTCCCAGCTTAACCCTTTAGAAACACTAAAATAATAGTCACGCTATCTGTCCTGCAGCCATGTGGGCATGTGCTGGGCTTTTAGAGTTTCTGAATTATCAGCGTAACCAGAACAATCTTAGCATCTCAAGGGCCTCCTTGGCCCACCTCAGTAAGCATATGAACTGATGGAGTTATCCAGGAACCAGAAAAGGTCACCATTTTACTAAGTAATATCCAAAGTCCTTAATAAGAGTCCACAGAACCTTACATGCTCCCTTCCCTCCCTGCCCGTACACTCCCCCCTCACCTCCTCTACGGCCATCCCTCCTGCACACACTCCAGCCCCACTAGCCTCGCCTTTCTTCAAACACATTGGCATTCCTGCCCTTGGGCTTTTGCACTAGCTGTTCTTTCTACCTGGAAGGGTCTTCTCCCAGATAGCCACATGGCCTACTCCTTCAAATCTTAGCTCCAATGTCACCTTCTCAATAAGACCTACCCAACCCCCTATTTACAACTGCACCCTTACCTCATATACTGGATGCTCCTTACTGTGCTCAATTTTTTCCCACCACACTCATCCCCTCCTAAAATACAACATCATGGAATTATTGATTGCATCACTCCAATGATTGTCATCTTCCCTCTGCCAGGGTAGGGATCCTTCTCTGTTTTGTTTACTGCTATACCCCTAGTACCTGGCATACATTGTACTCCATACTAGTTGAATGACAAATGGGGTAAAGAACAGGAGAACCTAACAGTTTGCTTTCACTGGACTTAAACCCATAACTGACAAGCCATATCTCCAATAGGAGAGAAATCGACCCTGTGATTCTATATCATCCCTAGAAGGCAACCATTTTCTATTATAAATGTAGACCACAGATCTTAGAATATAAGGTTACTTAAGGGGTAATCAGGTCAACATCAGCCCCTGTCTTCAGGTAGGCAATGCCAAGACTCCTCTGGGTGAGGAACTGCTCAGTATGGAGAGGGGACTAAGGCCCAGAGAGGTCTGGCCTAAAAGCCCACACCAGAGTTCCCAGCACTGTCCCAAGGCGTGTAGTTAGAGGTCTCAAGTCAAATATCTCCAAACAGATTCTGTACTAACAGGAGGAACCTGGTGAATTTCGGGAACAGTCTCCAGCATGTTCGCTCCACTGAAGAACCCTGTAAGCGGAGGGACCTGTGAATCAATCCATTGTCTACATGATCTGCTCCCCTTACCTCTCTCACGTCACCTCCCATCTCACTCTACTCCAGCCACACTGGCCTCCTCGCTATTACAAAAACACTGAATCTGCTCCACTCAAACTCTGTACCTGCTGTTCCCTTTGTCTGGAGAACTCTGCCAGGATGTAGGCAGGTGGACTCCCTCATTCCATTCAGGCTGCTGCCCAAACACCACCCCATCAGAGCCGCTACCCTGCCCACCCTATGTAACATACCACAGCCACCCCTGGCACCCCCATCCTTCTTACCTGGTTTCATTCATCTTTTTCAACACATTTATCACCACCTGTCCTATTCTATTTCTTATGTACTTGTTTTCTGTCTCCTTCCACTGGAATGTAAGCTCTATGATAGTCAAGGATTTTGTTTTGTTCTTGTTATATCCCCACCACTTAGAACACCCGGCACATAATAGGTATTTAACAAATACTTGTTGAATAAATGAATCAATGAATGAAAGAATGAATGGTTAGTCCCTTTTTTTGGTATTAAACTGCTCTTTGCTTTATTTAAAGAAAAAGCAACACAATTAATTAATTGCTTCCATAAAGTTTTTCCTTCCAAGATAGACCCCAAAGATTACAGTAATAATAGATTTAAAAAAAAAACAACCAACAAACACCTATGCTCACCTGACCAGCCCTCGATACATAATGTATTCACACCATCTGTCTTGATCTGTGCTGTCGATATCCTAATAAAGAACAGAAAAGAGAATGTTTAAAGCATAAAAAATAGTGCTTTATTCCGAATTGCCAAGGAAATGTGTGAGCTATAGTAATAAATATGCCTTCGTGCTCGCTATTTTCTCTGCCTGGCTCCTACTGATCCGTTAAGGTCCAAATTGTTTATTCATTCTACAGATATTTCTGGATCACCTACTATGTGTCCACGTAGCCCCTGTACTAGATGCTGGGAGTACAAAGATGAAGGTGGTCTAGAGAGGGAGCAAGGCAGGTAGATCAGCGGTTACAATACAGTCGCTGCCTCCCTACAGCTTTCCAAGTCCCTCATCCCAAGCAGAATTTACCGCACCCTCCTCCGTCATCATATGTAGTACTTTATGCACACCAGCTACACCATTCTGTACAGTTATTTGTTTATATGTCTCCACCCTCCCCTCTTGAGCAGAGGGACTCTTAATCACTTTGGCTCCCTGGTACTTAGCATGAAGCCTGGCATTTGGCAGGTGCTCAATCTGTGTTTGTTAAATTGAATCATTGGAAATAAATACGTTTCGGGAGTAATCATGAGTCCTTTGATGTTGAAAGCTTGAGACCAGGGTTGTTTTTCATCAGAGAAGCAGAACCTAAACATATTCTTTTTCTATAACATGTTTGGAAAACTCTCAGTATGGAGCTTTTATACTGAAGAAACTTCCATTTTCTTCTTTTTAAAAATCCCATAAATTAAAAACATACCTGACTTTTCACCATTTCTCAACTTTACTATTAAAATTTAATTTAAAACATATTTTTAAATCACTAAAAGAACACACCACAATTTATTATCTATTTCTTAATTTCTTTCATAATCTTAGTGATGGACACATGGATGCTTGTTAGTCTTTACTATTACTTATATATCACACACACATAGGCTTTTTGTATATATGAAAAAACTATAAATTTTAAAAATTAAATTTAAAAATTTTAATGATGAAAAAAGCAAATAAATTAAAAGTACTGTTCTGATTTGCCTTGGGAAGAAATAAAATTTAGTCATTCTGTTGTATATATTGGGAATAATAAACTATGAATACGTTTAACTATCATTTTATTTTACTAGATTTTAAAGAGATGCTGTCAAATTTTAAGACTGCAGAATTTAAATACTCATTTCTTAAAGAGAAAAATCTGTTCATCCAAGCATTTATGATTAAAATTGCTCTCTGCATTAATAAACTTCCTAATAGAAAAAAGCTATATAAGAATCCACTGCCAATCTTGACACAGCTTCTGACCGTGATAGTAGAAACCAACAGAGGATTAAATAAATATCAAATAAAATTCCTCTTTCTTAACGCCATGTATATCCATTACACACACACACACACACACACACACACACACACACACACAACGTAAGAATTCCCTCTCTTATTAGAACGCAATTTTTCCTTAGACTTACCAAATATCATCTTGTCTAACATTCTTTTGTACTTTATAGACTATATATTTGCACATTTATCTTATTTGATTTTATACATACAGCCAGATGCACACAATACATATACGTAGCTACCACTTATCGAGTGCCTGCTACATACGAGGCTGACAGCTTTGCAGACATTATCTTATATTCCATCCTCATAACAACTCTATGATACAATAGATATTACTATCACCACTCTACAGATGTGAACATTGAGGTGAGGCCCAAAAAGGTTAAATAACTTGCCTTAAGATCACACAGCAAGGGCCGGCCCCGTGGCTTAGCAGTTGGGTGCGCGCACTCCGCTACTGGCGGCCCAGGTTCGGGTCCCGGGCACGCACTGACGCACCACTTCTCTGGCCGTGCTGAGGCCGCGTCCCACATACAGCAACTAGAAGGATGTGCAACTATGACATGCAACTATCTACTGGGGCTTTGGGGGGGAAAAAAAAAGGAGGAGGATTGGCAATAGATGTTAGCTCAGAGCCGGGCTTCCTCAGCAAAAAGAGGAGGATTAGCATGGATGTTAGCTCACGGCTGATGTTCCTCACAAAAAAAAAAAAGATCACACAGCTAGGAAATCCAGCACCTGCTAGGCTAGTGAATAAGAGACCATATGGAGAGGGAGGCCCAGCCAACAATCCGTGCGAAAGTCACAGACATGTGAGTGGGGCCATCTTAGACCCCCTAGCCACAGCTGAGCCACCAGCTAACTGCACGGGTGAATACAGGCAAGAACAGAAACCACCCAGTCGGCCCACAGAATCATGAGAATATTAAACCATTGTTGTTTTAAGGCACTCAAGTTTCAGGTGGTTTGTTACATAGTGATAAATAACTAACACAGCCTCTGTGATTTCATACTCTCCAGATTTTCCCTTTACTCTTCTGACCTTTCCTTAATCTCTTTTCTCAGATAATTTCCATTCTCGTCCCTCACTCATCACCCCCAAGATAGCCACATTAATTGTGGCTTTACCAGGGCTTTTCTTTGGACTTCCTTTTGCAATTCTCTAACTCCATAAGCAATATCATCCACTTCCATGGTTTCAATGATCACCTAGATGATGGCACCTCCTTAATCTATATCTCTAGTCCTAGTGGCCCTTCTCAATTCCAGATCCATATATCCAGCTGCCTAATGGCAATTTCCATTAATAGCCCACAGATACCTCAACTCAACCTAAAGCTGAACTCATCATCTTTGCAAAATTCTTCTTCCTTATAAATTCCCTATAGTAATAAATGTCACCATCAGAAACTCTCTGGCCAAAATCAGGAGTCCATACTGACTCCACTTTCTGCCTTATCCATGGCAGAGATTAACTCATCTCCCTAGTATCTGCCTTGCCCTTGTTCCAAAGGTGTAGTATTTTTAGCTAGGTATACAAGTATCAAGATTAAATATTGCACCTCCCAACTTCCTGTATGGTAAGGTGTGACCATATGACTAAATTCCAGTCAATAAAATGTAAGTCAAAGTGTTGGAGGTCAGTTTCCTGGAATTTGCCTTTAGAGATAACTTGCATATGCTCTTGGCCCCTTCTGTAACCTTTCCTCTGTCTTACTAACTAGAACATGGATGCTGCCATCTTGGACCATGAGGCAAACTTGGGAACCAAGCCCTTGTAAAGTGGAGCCACAAGACAGAAAGAGCACATTCCTGATACCACGGCATGCCACACCAGTGCTGAATCACCTGCCTAGACTTGTACATAAAGAAATACACTTCTCTTATTTAAACCACTGCCATTTTGTGTTTTCTGTCACGTGCAGAAACCCTCATCATGCCGTGCTCTCTCTCACCTGTCTTTCCAAGCACTTGATAAGATGGATAAGCTTTTTTGTCTGCAGATATTATCTCAAGACAATGAAGTTGAAAACAAAATGTAAAGGACCAAGAAATCTACATAGGGCTTCACTATAATACAACAATCACATTTCTCATTATAAATTAGTGCATTTAGTATTCTAGTGTATATATCAGTCTCAAGGATTTGATTTGTGTGTCAGTTTTTTTCCCCAGAGCATGATTACATCTGGGTACACTAACAAATTCAAGTGTTTTGGACCCGAACAAGTAAGGACTAGTTCAGTGTCATTTAGGGAGGCCCTGTCTGGCTGATCAGCAAGCCTCTCTGTGTGCCGCTTCATTTTATCTTTTACTCTCAACATCGTAATAGCTTGCATAATGTGGTACATCATATTTTCTAAACATGGCTACAATAACTCACTTTCCATATGGTATTCTTATAATGTGACTTTGATACTCCTCGATGGGGTTTATGTTTCTTTCACCTGAAAGTGAGCAGGCTGTGACAGTGGCAGAAGTCACACTACGTGACTCACAAGGCTAGGTCAGACAAGGCAATACAGCTTCTTCCTGGTTCTCTTGGGACACTCAGTCTTGGAACCCAGCCATCACGCAGGAAGGAAGCCCAAGTAGCCCACTGACAGGACCCAGGACCCCGAGCCCAAAGCCCCAGCTGAGCTCCTAGTCAACAGCCAGCACCAACTTGCCACTTGTGAGTCATCACATCGCAAAGTGGATCCTCCAGTCCCCAGTGGAGCCATCTAGCTGTGTGGAGCAGAAACGAGCTGTCCCCATGAGCTCTGTCCAGATTGCAGATTCATGAGCAAAGAGATGATTGCTGTTATTTAAAACCAGTATGTTTTTTGGTGGTTTTCTATGCAACAGTAGATAATTACAGTATATATTAAATTGTTGGGTTGGGTTTTTTTTTTTTTAAACATGAAGAAACGTTTTACTTAATAAATCAGAAATCCTATTAAGACTGTGTTACCTTCACATTACCATGTTCAATGAGCTGTAGATAATCTCTGGAACCAGGTGCTGATGTGATGTATCCCAGAAATATCACTTGATTAGAGCTATTCTTCAGTAGTTTTGAAACTGCAATAGCCTGAAGTTTCCTGTCGAGGTCATCTCTTAAAAAATGCAAAAATGTACCTTTTTATTGTATTCGAAAAACAATTTTTAACAAGTCTTAGGTACCTAAGTTCCCAAAGAATATCTTCAAACAGTGCACAAAGCCAGAGTCATTCCTACTTGGGCAAATGTCTTAATGTGCAAATGAACAAAACAGAGACACACTGCTTCAACGGAGTGAGCTGACAAACTTTGACTAAGAACAACGTGATCTTTCCCCACAAATCATTTGGAATTGAGATGATTTAACTATCTATTCTAAAAACAGCATTTGTTTAATTTTTCATCAGAGGAAATTATATCAATAATCTGAGACCTGGTCATCAGTATGACAGCTAAAGACTAGTAGTCAAAAAAAAAAAAACAGCCAGAAGTACTGGTAAGAGAGAGAATCCTAACATTCACAGAACATACCAGGCTTATATAACCTACTCAGCTCCTTCTACTGAACCCTTTCTAAAAAGTCTCCCTGGCTCTCCTTGTCAAATACTGGCTAAACAGGATGCTTTCATTATGCTAAGCACTGCAGATGTATAACTGAGATAATTAGGCAGGTACCTCAAGCTTTTGGGTGGTTTACAGTCAGTCTTTTTGGGGAAAATAGGGACATCGTATTTCAGTTTTCCTGCCTGGCTGGAATGAAAAATACCCTGTCTTCTCCCCTCCTCCTACCCTCCAGCCTTGCATTGGTGCCTCCCATTGGCTAAACCTACCCAGAAGCCAGAAGGCAACAGACTCAGGGAAATGTGGTTCCCTGCATTGTGTAGCCGAGAGGGAGCTGAGCCAGGAATGGATCCAAGAGCAAATAGGCAGTAGATCAACACAGGCATTTACAGAGAAAGATAGCTAATAAATGATCGTTAAGAAAATACAATGACAAAGGAAGATAGACGGAGATCGCCAAGGACTGAGAAGACTGGAGAGACCTCACAGAGGTAGGATCCGAAGACAGAACTAAGCTTAGATAAGAATGTGTAGACAGCTGAGTACTATTAAAAGATGTCTCAAGAAATAGAAGAGTGAAAAGAATGGCCATTTGTTAAAATCTTTGATATCAGATGCTCATAATAACTGAGAGGCAGGCATTAGCTCTATTTTCAAACGAGGTTAAGAAACATGCCGAAGGTTATTCTCCATCTCCCCTGCCCAGATCCATTCTTGGCCTTCCCCATGCCCTGGGAGGCTGACCCCTGCAGACTTCCTCTCCTGGGCTCCCTTGTCTGCTGATTTCCAGTTAGGTTTGGCCAATTGGTGGCACGAGCAGGAGATGAAAAGGTGTGAGGAGAGAGAAATCGGGGTGTTTTTTCCCCCGTAGCTGCATTCCTCATGCCTTGTGGCCCCTCTTCCTCGTTCCAGATCTCACGGGGCTCTGGAAACACTATTTCCTCTGCCTGTCCCTTCAGCCCTTAGGATGGTAATGATTTCCCACTGTTACTAGTGTCTGAGTGTCTTGGCTCTCTCATCTGTCCCTCTGACCCTTCCAACATCTTGGTAAGTAGTCCCTTCATTAGGTCTGTTCCTTCTGATACACACAACTGGGATTCAAATTCAGTTTAGAGAATTCCAAAGTCACTGCACCACAGATAGTGTTTTCATTCAAATATATTTTAGCAATATATTATTGCCAAAATAATCTATGAATTTGGCTTTACATTTTCTCAGCAGATAAATTTTATCCAGTGATGATAATAAAAATAAAAAGAATACGTATGAGTACAAAGAAAGAGGAAGGAGGTGGGAAAGAGGAGAGGAGAGGAGAGGGAGGGAGGGAGGGAGAGAGAAAGAGAAAATACATTTTATGTTTCCTTATCTGTTAATATTTGATCAGCCCAATAACCTGATATGTGGGCTGAAAAAAATAATTTTATCTGATTTTCAGAGACAAGAGAAACTGGAACTCTCTGAATTTATCTTATAACAGAACCAAAACTATAACTACAGACTACAGGCTCTGTGTTCTTTCTTCTCTGTACATTTATGCATGTTACAGAAAAAAAGAATGATGATTAACTGGTAGCTCGTTTAATTACTTAAAATTATATCAATTTTAGTTATGGTGTATACCTAATGGCTTCTAAGGAATGCTGCTATTTCCTACTTATTGATTGTACAGAGATATTCGTGTAATCGGTCATTTAGAAAATCTTGTTGAATCAGCTAACATGCATAAGCATTCTATAATTCATTTCTAAGATGATTTCATGTTTGTATGCCATAATCACTAGAAAATGAAATTTCTAAATATTTATTCACAGTAAGAATTTTTTTATCTAGGATTGTAGAAAACAAAGGCAAGAGAAAATATGTAATGATGGCTTCACAAATTATTGCAAGTGTGAACTTTCTCGTGTCACTTCTTGGAAGGCCAGTGTTCATGGACAGGTCTTCTAAGGAGTGATACGAGAGCTGTGGCTCTGAGCAAAAAGATGTCACCTCCTACTGTGCTTGGGACACAGCAGATGCCTGATTTACGCTTGAAGAATGAATTATTTTTTAAGCTGCCCAACGTACCTTACATTTAGAATTGGCTGATTTCGTTTAATAATAATGGCCAGCATTAATTGAGCACTTACTGTATTCATGTACTTGGCATGAGGTAATATATCTCGTTTAACTCTCCCAAGAAACCTATGATGTACAGATTTTACAGATGAAGAAACTGAGGCTCAAGGTAGTTCAATAACTTGGGGAAGGATATGCCTTGAATTAGGATTGAAACCATCTTGTCTGATCCCAGGCTATGGAATTCCATGCTCTTAACCATTAAACTACACTGTTTCCCTCCCTCGAGTTACATCTCCTCCATAAGTGTTAGCTACTATTATTACTGCTGTTGTTGTTGTCATTATTATTAGATCAAGTGACTGAGTAAGACAGCAAGTAAAGGATATGGTGTTAATCAGAGAGCTTTAAATATGTGGTTCATAGAAGGTTAGAAAAGGTAATCCTTCCCTCCTCTTTCCCAAACCGTATTCCAAGGGCTGTCTTTTAGTCTTCTCTTCCCTTTCCAGTCTATTTTTTACATTTCAGTGGAGGTTGGAGGGAGTTGAAGAGGGCAGAGAAAAAAAAGCAAAGGAAAAAAAGGAGTGGATTCAACTGTTTCTTAGGTTGAGACTTTGCAACCTTTAAACACAGAAGTGTCTATTTTTTTACAAGATAAACCCACTTCAAGTGCAATTTAAGGTCAGTGGAATGATCTTTGAATGCCTATACTTGCTACCTGAAAATTACTAGAACGAACAGAGGCATTTCTTCACACAGCTTATTAATAAGATATTAACCCAACTATATGATCCATCCTCCAAACACCCTTATTTCTAAGGAGACCAGCAAGAGTCCGATAAGCAAATAGCTCACATTAATTACATTTGGATGCTTTGTTTATATTCCTTACGCTCTAACTTATTTCAGAAAATATTCAAGTATGCTTTCACAGATCCACATAACACTGAAAAAGTGAGGTGACAGGAAAATAAGGGTAGCAGACATGTTAGTTTTGTTCAGGTGAAACTTACAGGACAACAATATGGTTTTCCTAATGTTCTGTATATGACTTTAAAGTTCTGTGGCCTCTTGTGTCATTAACGCGGACAGGACCTGTATGTCGTATTTTACAGAACTAAGCACTTTACATTAGTATTTTCAATTATATTAAAGAATGTTTAGTATGGTAGAGTATAAATTATATACTTTTATCTTTGTACAATATATTGTTGGCATTATTCATGATTTACTCAGCACTAAGTCACTGGTTGTGAATGTTATTCTTTCAAGATAAAACTCATTCTGCATTCCTCATGTCTCCTTGTAGAGGGGCTTTCTTAGAAAACCATCTCTGGCCTCTCTTTCATACCCTTTACTTTGGGGGAGGACTTTTCTAATTATTTAAGTTTGGAAGAATTAACTGGGCATGCTTGTCTTACATCCTTCCTCTCTCTTCTCCTTGGAACCTACCAGTTTGCAGACAGGCTGCTTTCTGACATATTCTCTCCACAAAGGAGAGAGTTTGACAGGGCAGACTCTGCCCCTGCTGGGTAGGTCTGCTGCTTTGGGGAGGTCAGTTTCATGTATTGTTGGGGGATGTATTAGCAGGTCCATGTGGACACACTTACGCCATGTTGTCCAAATAGGTTTATCTGAATTAAAAAAGATATTTTGGTCTCCCTGCCAGATTCCTTTGCCTACCTATCAATTGATTGTGATAACAGGAAGGAAAAAGGAATGTCATTTAATACCCTCAAATCCCAACAGTACTTCCAATTGTAGTAATCCTGTAGGAGAAGGGCATTTCATTTTCCTGTAGTCTGGTTTACCATGTGGATCCAAGGACTCGCAGGCTCTGAGCAGAGTCTACCTAATTCGAATTCTAGCTGTGTGACCCTGGTTGGACAAGTCATATAACCTCTAGTCTAGCTTCTTTATCTGTAAAGTAGGGCTATAATAGTACTAACTTTATACAGAGTGAAGATTAAACACAACAATGCACTTAGCACAGCAGCTGCTCAGTAACCGCTGGCTAACATGGCCGTCACTGCTGCCCTGTACCATCACAAAGGACTGCCTGCATCTCAAATGTTTCTATGCCTGATTTTTAAAACCAGCAACACAGAAAAAAATACTTTGGGAGAAAAAAAGAAGAAAGTAAGAAAGGTCAATGCATGGAAATCAAAGTAATGTGTTGATAACATTTCTTCTCATTTGCGTACTATAAGAAAGACCAAAGAAACCTACTCGTGATTCCCAAAGTGTGTCACAACAAAATCCACCAGTTTGTTGGAGATGTTAACAGTCAGTGTTATGGCTGGTGCGATCTCGCCCTCTGGTGACGGAAGAAGGTGATGCTCTGATTTCACAATTGGGTATCTTGACAAAACCATAATGCTGTATTGGAATGAAAAGAAACATGTGCATCATTGTTGGTCCCACGATATCACGCCGACAGGACTAAGCAAATGTGTTACAAAGGGATGTGTCACACTTCAAGCATCTCACTGAGGGGCGTTCAGAGCAATAACGTGGCAGAGATGTTTGTGGCAGTCTGACCGTTTGTTGCATCCCTGCTATTTAGCATGTCTCTCTGTGTCACTAAGCACAATACTATCAACTCTGTTTTAATAGGTGCTATGGAGGCATGAAAAGGGCAGAATTAGTAACACACAAATCCATTTTACTTGCATTGTTACTCTGGCAACATAATTCTAATATTAATCAACACATTTGGGAATGTACAATCTTGCCAGCGACACAAAAGTAACAATTTACAAAATTAGAAATTACAAACTGTCCAATAAAGATATGAAAACATGTTCCACCTCACGTTAAGTCAAAGAACTACATATGAAAGGGACGAGCAGAGCCCAGACCTCAGCTGGCTTCTCTTCGCTAGCTGCATGCACTCTCTCTCTGGCGCCCTCATGGAGTCCCCCCAACAGGGCCCTTCTACAGGGATGATACCTGAATTTACATGTCCAGATTGTCCTGTCCCACTCGGCCCTCCAGGCTGCAGACAGTTGCCTACTGGATGTCACTTGACTGTCCAGGGGCATCTCAAACTTAGCACAATCCTGCTGCTCGCCTGGTCGTTCGCATCCCATGAAATGGCATCACCTCCCAGCAGGTATTCAGTTGAAAAACAGACATGTTGCCCTTGTCACTTCCCTGCCCCTGACCAGGAACCATCAGTAAGTCCTGTCAGCTCTGTTCCAAAATAGGTCCTGAATTTGACCCCTTCTCTCCACCTCCACGGCTCCCACTGTCATCTCTCACCTGTGCTATTGCATCTACCTCATCGCCTGTATCCCTGCTCCCATTCTTGCCCCTGACAATCTGTTCTTCTAGGAACAGCCAGAATGATCTTTCAAAAAAGTAAATCAGATCAGATCGCTCCCATGGGTTAAAATCCTCCAATGGTTTCCTATCAGAACTGAATTAAATCAGTCTTAATCATGGATTACGGGGCCCTCTAAGATGAGGTGAGGTGCCACCCTTGACCTCATTTTTCAACAGTTCCCCCTCAATCCCTACACTCAGGCACACCAAGCTGGATCCTGCCTCAAGTCTTTACACTGGTGGTTCCCTCAGCTCTTCCCATGGCTGGGTCCCAGGTCCTTGTCATCATGAGGTGTTCAGAGAGACCTTCCTGACCACTCTACTTATAGCAGCATCCCCCATTGCCCCTGTCCACCCAGTCACTTTCCTTTTCTACATAGCACTTATCACTGTCTCAAATTATCTTATTTATTTCTGTGTGCACATGTTTAGTTTCTGTCGCTTGACAGCAGAATGTAAGCTCCATGAGGACAGCATCTAGGTCAGACATGCTTAGTGCCGTAACCTCAGCTCCTACACTGAATGGTCTATAATGGTGAAGAATTGAAAATATCCAGCAACACAGAAATCATTTAAACAGTTACTGAAATATGCATATCTTTGGCATGTCCGCATCCCTGGCACATATTCATAGGACTAAGGTATGACAATATCAACTTGCCACTCCAAGCCGATGCTGCCTCTTTTTCCAGGGCTATGTTCAAGATTAATTCCCAAGGTACACTCACCCCCAAGTGTGATCCCTTGCACTTGGACCAAAGTCAGTATAGAAACCCAACTTCTCCCCTAACCACATGGTTAAGTCATTGTTCCCAATATAGGGCTTAGAAGCATCGCTCTCCAAAATTGTTATGAAATCTGCACCTGTCCAAAAAAAAAAAAAGTACATAGTGATTAACCAAGCAATGCAAAAACAATTAGCAAAACTTGATTCTTTAACCTTCTGCCTTTACTCAGAAATCAAAAAACGAAGTAATTCCTAATGAGTCACTAAATTGAAGTGGCTCAAATCTGAACTATAAAAGAATTTTCCCGTTTTTAGAATGCAATGAAAACTTGGGACACCTTGAGGAAATGCAGAAAAGGATAAAAGCAAAGCTCTTTACGTATCTTGCTCCACACTCCATGGAGTTGATCTAAGAACCCAACGCCCACGTATTTTAAAGGATGCTTCATACAAAGATGAGCACCCCAGGGCACGGAAACTTAAAAATTGGCCCGTAGGCTCTTGAAAGCAACTTGCTTCACAAATGAGCATCACTCTGCCCCTTCTGCCTCTTAATCCGACAGTTTTCTGGTCCCCAACAGTGGGTCCCCAAGTGACAGGAGCCACCAGCAGGGGCATCTCTAAGAGCAAAGGCATGACAGGAATCCCCTGCAGATATCCAGGATGAGGCTCTGTTCAGAATCAACTGAATTAATTGCTTCCAAACAAAGACAGATGTGGTTACAGAAGCTTAATCCTCCTGCAGCTGCCCACCAACGAAAAGCCTTTTTAAAAGATTAGTTTATGACCCAACAAGCCCTCCTCCTGTTACTTACCATCTTGCTCAAAATAAAAGTAACAATAGTAGTTCCTCAAAACCTGGAACTAATTCCAGCAAGACTTACCTGTTTGATTGAGCAATTGCGCTGATCTTTCTAGATTAGACCATCCTTCATTGTCATAGCCGAACCTGAAAGGCCAGATGGCGGCAGATACCTCTGTGGTTGGTGCCTGAGGAATGGTTTTAATGCTAATTTAGGATAACTGTGAACAATGGCAGTTTCAGTGACCCAGTTTTCTCCACCTCTCTCTACCAAAATTCATATTTCAGCAAAGGAATTTCCTTAGACGTTTGCCCACATTTAATTCATAAAATTAAGGAGATACTTGCTAGATGGTACTGTCGTAATAAATCTGTGAACTTCTAGCTTAAGCTTGGAAATTAGGAGGAATGTTTGGAAAGTGAGCATTTATAATAAGCATTTTTTATAACAGCAAAAAATTAGAAACAATCGGCTGTTGCTTCAATGGAAAATGAATAAATAAATGGTGTCACATACATATAATGGAATACTACACAGCCCTAACAAATGAGTTAGGACTACATATTTCCATATGCAGGAATATCACAAAGATGATTTTAAGTAAAAAAGTAAGTTGCAAAATATATCAGATGTCATTTAGATAAAGTTAAAAACATGAAAAAAACACTATTGTCTAGGGATTTATCGTATGTAGTAACAATATAAAGAGATGCACGAAAATGATAAATACTGGATTCAGGATAGAGGTTATCTTTGCACCGGAGAAAATTAAGATCACAGAAGGATACATAGAGGCCTTTAATATATTTATAAAGTGGTCTGCCAATCTAACTGAGTTATAAATGTTGTCGCTCCCCTACTGTATTGGCAAGGCCAAGGGTCAGGAGCTCAGCCCCCTTTGAGACTTCCTCTTGTGGGTCCCTGGGCTCAGTCAAAGAATGCACCGCCCAACTCTAACCATCCATCTCAAACTAATACCTACTGATCTACAATAGGGATCCTGTGAAAGAGTATGACTGGATTAGAAGAAATCCATCACCACAACTGAAAAGACAACTCAAAGTGGACCACACGAGATCAGGTTGGGAGAAGGATAAGCAGCAACCTCTTTGCATTGGAGGGCCACTACTTAACATAAACAGCTCAATGTGCTACCAACAGAGAGCTGGGCATTTCATCTTTATACAAGAAAGGTTATTCAGTTTAGTGAATGTCATATAAAGAGAATGGAACCACCAACAGAGATTTCAAGAGGTATGATTATATTCATCAAGCTCTCTCTTTTCACATAACTATATATCTATAAATAACTCTGGATTTCATCACTCCAGAGTGATGTTATTCCCTCATTCTTCCCATGTCAGTAAATGCCACCATCCTTAAACCAAAAACATACAAACCATCCTTCATTCTTTCCTTCTCCTCATCCAGCAATATCTAATCCATCAGCAAATCCTATCAGCTATACTTTCAAAATATATTCTAAGTCTATCCACTTCTCTCCAACTCCACTGCCACTGTGTCCAGCCAAACTTCCATGGTCTCTCTTCTGGACAAGTGAAAAAGCCTGCTAACTTATCTCCCTGCTTCCACTCTACAATCCATCCTTCACAAAGCAGCCAAATTGATATATATCATGTTTCTTCACACTACTACTGAAACACTCTGGTAGCTTCCATCACAAAATCAAATCAGAACTCCTTACTGTGCTCTGTAAGGCCCTCACCAGCCTCTCCATCCTCATCTTCTACCGTTCTTCCCCTTGCTCACCAAGCTTCAGCCACTGTCCACTGATGCTCCTCAAACACACCAAGCCTGTGTCCCCTCAGGCTTTACACATGTTCCCTCGGCCTGAATCCTTTACCCCTAGCTCTCTGAACAACTGGCTTTGTCTCAACTTTCAAGTCTCAACTTGAATGTCACATCCTCAGAGCAGCCTTCTCTAACCACCCAGACCCAGTCAATTCTCTACTCCATAATCTTATTTGCTTCAGAGCAGCGTGATCTAAAGTGATAGTCTTTATTTATTTGTTCCTCTGAATACCGTCTTTCTCCCCTACTAGAATGTAAATTCTGTGACGGCAGGGACCTTGTCCAACTTGTTTACCTCTGTATCCCTGGCACCAGGCACACAAGAGACATTCAATAAGCATTTATAAAATGAATGAATGAACAAATAAACAAAAGAACAGGTATTAAATCCAACTGAAATGACTCCTTTTGAAAAGAATCCCTGGCTGACATTAGATATCCTCTTCTGACTGACATTATGTTGCAACAATAACAACTAAAAATTAAAGGGCAAAGGAAAAAGACCATGTAATGAATTACTTACTTATTCAGAAATAGGTACTGAGTTCTAAATATGTGCCAAGCACTCTGTAAAGTACTGGGAATACAAAGGCAAACAAGAGAAGCATGGTCTCCATCCTCGGTATAGTTCTTTATTTAATATGAAAAACTTGCCTGGTAATACAGATTGCTAAAATTCAAAGTTTTAGCCTCAAATTCTGTTTTAGCCAGAACTGTAACTCTAACTGTGTTATGAAACACATCAAACTTTTTATCAGAGCAGATAGAAAGCACAACATTGCAATGACTTACCCTTGCTTCTGCCTACCTATCTAGAAGAGAAAGGGACAATAAAACATTTAAGCAAGAGGGAAAAGGAAGAGACAAGAAAACTTTCATGACCCATCAATACACAAGCTATCCATAATCTGCAAAATCAAAAATTATCTGTAAGATTTTTCTTTTTTTTTTTAATTTTTTAATTTTATTTAATTTTTAAATTTTCCCCCAAAGCCCCAGTAGATAGTTGTATGTCATAACTGCACATCCTTCTAGTTGCTGTATGTGGGACGCGGCCTCAGCATGGCCGGACAAGCGGTGCGTTGGTGCGCGCCCGGGATCCGAACCCAGGTCGCCAGTAGCGGAGCGCGCGCACTTAACCGCTAAGCCACGGGGCCGGCCCCTGTAAGATTTTTCTTAAATCAAAGAATCTCATATTGCTGCGTTCAGCAATATCTACGCAATAGTAGAAAGAAGCCCCTTATAAAATAGTTATTTCATAGTTTACATACGTTAAATCATGGAATGACAAAAATAACTTCATACAGCAAAATCATGAGCAGTTTGCCCCTAATATACGGGCCTCTAGTGTCCCAAGAGCCCAACTTCATAAAATAACTCCACTATGTTATCAGCCTGGGACCTGAGGGTTAAAGAGATGAGATCAGAGCTCTGAAGTCATTAGATCCAGGTCTAGAGTTCAGTCACAATGGTGAAGTGACAAATGTGTATATATATATATATATATATCATATCAAATTTTATAAAAAATTTTAATTACTTACCCCTTTGCCCAATTTCCTCCCATAGGTTTTATGCCGTAGTCCTAATCCCAACAACCCTATACCAACAAGCAGCCACAAAACTAAACAGAAAGAACAAATAATTGTTTAAAAGAAACTGTTTGTTTTTAAAAGTAATTTTTATGAAATTCTTCAATCTATTAGCCAAGGATTTTGTGCAAAGGGGAAATGTCTAATTCCTGGGTTAATTTTCATGTGTGACATGCATATACAACCCATACTTTAAACTCAGGTTTCAAAGAATCTTCCCCTAAAAATGTTCCAAGGACCATGAGCTTAAAGTAAAAATAAATTATAAATACATACAAGAAAACAAGTCTCCATGAGCAGGAACCAGCAGGAAAAACACCCTGCAGGATCAAGCCCACAAGTACTTCAGATATTGGAACTTTCAGAACCAGAATATAAAATAAGCATGCTTAACGTACTTAGAAAAATAAAAGAGGGTATTCAACAGGATGACTAAGGAATATGAAATTAGATTAACAATCAGGAAAATGTAAAGAAATCAAATAGACTTCTAGAAATAAAATTATATAATAATTATAATAATTGAAATTAGAAACTCAGCAGACAAGAAAAATAGCAGATTAGACAAAGCCAAACAGAGAATAAGTGCAAGCGGCAGCTTAAAAACAAAGGTAGAGAATATGGAAGAGGTTAAGGGACACAGAGAAGAAAATAAGGAAATCGAACACATATCTAACTGGAGTCAAAAAAGAGAGAAGAGAAAGAATGGGAAAGAGGCAATATTTGCAGAAATAATCCTGAGAATTTTCCAGAATTGATAAAAGACATGACTCTTCAGGTTCAAGAAAGCCCAAACACTCACAAGCGAGATGGGAGGTGAGGGGGATCCATATCCAGATATACCACAGCGAAACTCCAGAACACCAGAACAAAGAAAAATCTTAAGAGCTGCTAGAGAGAAAAAACCGATTATCTTCAAAGGAGCAAAGATTACAATGACAGCTGACTTTTCAACAGCAAAAATGGAAGCCAGATGACAGAGGAATAATATCTTTAATGTGCTGAGAAACAAATAACCAACTACTGAAAGAACAGAAATAGACTGTATAATTTCCAAACTAGAAAGAGGAGTGGGGAGGAGGAGGATAAGAAAAAAAGAAAAAGAAAATCCAAACAATGCAAAAGAAAGTATGGGAAAAAAAGAGGAAAAAAATATACCTAGAGAAAGCAGAAAAAGCAAAAGCAAAGTAAGATGATAGAACTAAATCGTAACACATGAGAAATCACAACAAAAATATATTACATTTTCAAGTTAAAAGACAAAGATTGACATTGTAGAAAAGGCAAAACAATGGAGACAGAAAAAAGATGAGTAGGGGGCCGGCCCAGCAGTGTAACGGTTAAGTTCGGCATGCTCTGCATCAGCAGCCCAGGTTCACAGGTTCAGATCCTGGGCACGGACTTACACCACTCATCAAGCTGAGCTGTGGCAGTGATCCACATACAAAATAGAGGAAAGACTGGCAACAGATGTTAGCTCAGGGCCAACCTTCCCCAACAAAAAAAAAAAAAAGATGAAGAGTAGTTGCCAAGGTTGGGAAGAGAGAAGGAAGGATGAATAGGTGGAGCACAGGGAATGTTTAGGGTAGCAAAACTATTCTGTATGATACTGTAATGGTAGATAAATGTCATTATACATTTGTCAAAACCCATGAGAAGTACAACAAAGAGTGAACTCTAATGTAAACTATGGACTTCAGTTAATAATAATGTATCAATATTGGCTCATCAATTGTAATAAATGTACCACACTAATGCAAGATGTTAATAATGGTGGAAACTGTGGAGGTCGGGGCATGAGAGGGTATATGGGAGCTCCATACTTTCTGCTCAGTTTTGCTGTACACCTAAAACTACACTAAAAAATAAAATCTATTAATTTTTTAAAAAGACAAAGATAGTGGCTGCCATTGATAGTGGGAGGGAGGGATGAATAGCTGGAGCACAGATGATTTTTAAGGCAGTGAAACTACTCTGCATGATTTTTTTTTTTTTGTGAGGAAGATCAGCCCTGAGCTAACATCCATGCTAATCCTCCTCTTTTTGCTGAGGAAGACCAACTCTGAGCTAACATCTATTGCCAATCCTCCTCCTTTTTTTCCCCAAAGCCGCAGTAGATAGTTGTATGTCGTAGTTGCACATCCTTCTAGTTGCTGTATGTGGGACGCAGCCTCAGCATGGCCGGAGAAGCGGTGCGTCGGTGCGCGCCCGGGATCCAAACCCGGGCCGCCAGTAGCGGAGCACGTGCACTTAACCGCTAAGCCACAGGGCCGGCCCTACTCTGCATGATATTATAATGGTGGATACATGTCATTATACATTTGTCAAAACCCACAGAATGTATAACACCAAGAGTGAGCCCTAAAGTAAGCTACGGACTTGGGGTGATAGTGATGTGTCAGTTTAGGTCCATCAACTGGAATAAATGGACCACTCTGGTGGGGGATGTTAATAGTGGGGGAGGCGGTACATGTGTGCGGTCACAGGGTATATGGGAAATCTCTGTACTTTCTGCTCAATTTTGCTGTGAAAATCAAATGACTCAAAAAATAAAGTCTATTTAAAAAAACACACAAAACTGTCTAAACAACTTTGTAAATAAACTGTTCCAAATGCCTCAGTTTGATGAATGAAACAATTATGGTTCTTAATAATAATAACAATAATCATAATAATAATAAAGACAAAGATTGTCAGGATTAAAAACAAACAAAAACTGCCAGATCCTGGTTTCAAGAGACATACCTAAAACATAGGAACACACACACACAAAAACCCTAAATTAAAAAAATTTCCCCTAAATTTTAATCTTTTCAAATTATGATGGTACATATATGAAGGTGTTTATATAATGGTCTTACTGCTTTGTGACATTTCTTTTAGAAACATATTGAAATTTTAGAGCCAGCCCTGACAGCCTAGTGGTTAAAGTTCGGCGCACTCTGCTTCAGCAACCTGGGTTTGGTTCCCGGGTGTAGAACCACACCAGTCGTCTGTCAGTAGCCACACTGTGGTGGTGGCTGACATAGAAGAACTAGAAAGACTTACAACTAGGATATACAACCATGTACTGGGGCTTTGGGGAGGAAAAAAAGAGACAGACGAAGATTGGCAACAGATGTCAGCTCAGGGCAAATCTTCCCCAGCAAAAAAAAAAAAGAAAAAGAAAAAAAGTAACCTACGATAATTAAAAAAAAACAAAAGAAATATATTGAAATTTTATTTAGCTTCTTAATTGTTTTCTATCTCTTTGCACTATAATATTTTGTCTTCTTTAGTAAAGCGTCAAGTCATTGAGGGTACAGACCAGTCTTTACATGTCTGTACCCGACATACCACTATGTAGTTACGTGGTGTACTGAATTCTAATACACTATCTGCAAATGTGATACATTCAATAAACATTTTTATTTAATCCAGTCCATTTGAAATCAGTCAGACTGAATAGTAAACTAATTTCATGTTTGAGTTGCTAGTTCATCAATATTCCAAATGTTAACATACTTAATCTCCCAAAAAAGAACAAGAAATGAAATAAATAATCTCAACGATTAGAACAAAGCGTTTTCGAAATTTTACCTGTTAAATCACCGTATCTACATTAGAGGTAAAGCAAAACTAATACACAGTATCTATGGCTGAAATGACATGTTATCAGAGATTTGCTTTAAAGTATTTCACCAAAAACAAGTAAGGAAGATAGCTGCTAACAACATTGGCAAAACGTTAACAATTGTTGGAAGTGGGTGAAGGGTACATGAGGGTTCCTTATATTCTTTAATTCCATATATGTGTGAAAATTTATATTTATAATAAAATGCTTTAAAAAAAAGAGAGAGCAGAACTATACTTACAAAGTTTCATGTATTGTTCACTCTTTCTGAAAAGCACTTTAGGACTGTTTTTTGTTTGAAGAAGAAAGTCAAGGCTTTTCTTAGGACCAAATAGCATATTCAGCCCAATAATTACCATCACTATCCCTGTTACAAGAGAAAGAATATATTACATTTTAATCCAAAAATCCTTCCAACAGTAAATTCCATGAGCCTAGATTTTGTTTAAACAGACATACTCTAAAATTATTTTATTGAGTTTATTTATCTCAGTACCTAAGCAATTACTCTAGTAGTATTTTTGATAATTGAGATGATCATAAGAAAATCAGCTAGGGTTCTAGGAATCACACTTTAAACGAGAAGACCCCAGCCTTTTCCTCATGAGGGATTTATTTCTTTTAATTTCCTGAGTGTATCCTAGTTGTTGTGTTGCTAATAGCATATGTCACTGACTGTTGATGGTGCATGGGAGAGTGGAGCACAAGAGAAAGGAGCCTTCTGAACCGCCTCAGGGGCTCAATCTTGTCTACGGAAGAGACTTCACAGGCACCAAGCTGAGGAGCACACAAGGAAATACAGAGGTTCTTAATAGGGCAGCGTTGGCAATAACTCTGGCTTAGGACGGGGGTCCTCACAGAGGATGCATGCTAGAGCCCACACTGTGCCAATAGGCCAGCCAATGAAGTTGAGCTCCACTGAGATGCATTACAATGTATCTTACATGTAAAGTTTACATACTTCTAAAATTGTATATAATCAGAATGGAAACAGAGGTATGATTGAATAATATATAAATTAGGAAATGTCAAGTAAAAATTAACTTAGGTGGAAGCCTAGCAGGAGAAACCTAGACAATAAATTTATAACTAATTTCTGATTTAATACAGATCCTTTTCAATTGTATTAAAAGCTACTCTGAATATTACCAACATTCCTTAGTTTTTGTCGCCTTACCAATATAATGTCACTCTTACTCAAACAAATTCTTAGTTGTTTGAAGCTGTAATAAACCACTGTTTCTGCAATCCCAGAAGTGGTGAGAAGGAATTCAAAAAGCACATCATTCCTACCATTCTAAAGAAATAAACTGATGCTTCGAGTGGCTCTTACTGTCCTTTGTTTTCTCCACGTGGCAGACCCCCAAGCAAAGTGGAGTAAGAAAAAAGCAGGGCATTGGACAGGAAGACAGAGCAGGACAGAGTACACACACCTGAAAGAAACCAGAAGAAACACAAAGTTCGCAAAGGCAAGATTATTGCAGAGGAAAAGGAGTAATGTATGTTTCAAATTAGATGAGAACTTGGGTGTCTACCAGAAATATCAAATTCTCGAAAGTTGTTGTTTTTTTGTTTTTTTTTTTTTAAAGATTTTATTTTATTTATTTTCCCCCCCAAAGCCCCAGTAGATAGTTGTATGTCATAGCTGCACATCCTTCTAGTTGCTGTATGTGGGACTCGGCCTCAGGATGGACGGAGAAGCGGTGCCTCGGTGCGCACCCGGGATCCGAACCCAGGCCACCAGCATCAGAGCGCGCGCACTTAACCACCAAGCCACGGGGCCGGCCCTCAAAAGTTGTTTTAAAATATTTCATACAATTTAACAATATATCCTCCAAAATAGCCTGTCCTGATAGATGTCTAGCTCATGGAGTAGAGAAGTTCATGTGACAACGGACAGAGTAGTTGGATGTACACCAAGGACACGAGAGGGGACCGCAAAGAAACACAAGTAGAAGCCTAGACTTCTGTGCTGCATTCACCCCAACTGGAATTCCATAGTACTGGTCTAACTTCATGTATGGTGCTCCCCCACTACACTGAGGCTCCAGGTGGGCACAGACCCTATGTCTCTTAATCCCCAGCACCTGGCACTGTGCCAAGAACACAGTAGGTGTGCAATAATTTTTTAATCAATAAATGAACAAATGGAAAAGTGAATGCGTGAACAAACAAGAACTGAATTCCTTATTAATATGTTTTGTCTCCTAATTTGTCAAAGACTGTATCCTGGAAGCATCTGACATGCTTTACTTAAACTAAAATGACAGTAATTACATCAGTAATTATAGATCAGTATATATACATTACACATTATACATCGGTATACATACATACATTGTACATTATGCATTATTGCCATAAGACAATTTTTAAAATATTAAACTGAGCTGAGTTTATGAAATTTTAATTTTGGTACATAAGTTCATAACCACTGAAATGGAAAATGTATTTATCCTACAAGTTGGAAATTTATTTACACTACGATTCACATATGTGAGATATATTTTATTGGTAAAAAATCACAGATAAAATTCAAGAGAAGCAAAAAAAAAATCACAATTCCTATATACATGTACGATCCTACATGAGCTCGTGACCATCATGATCATACGTTTTCCTAACATATCATATAATACAAGTGTTACATAGTACCTCTTTTATACTTTATTATGGATTAAACTTGTTTTTTTTCCACAACTAATTCACTTAAAAGGCCTTTGCAGTAATAAATATTACTGAAACAGAGTAATTAAGAAATTTGTTTTTAAGTAGTAATTTAGACATTCCTTCAGTTTTCTTTTTAATCAAGAGAGTCTATTTTAACAGAAAGGCAAAATCATCCTATTTATTTCCACCAGTTACGCAAAGAGCTAAATCCTAGTCAGTCCTGAAGGGTATTTTCAAGCAGTTACTTGAATCTAGATCTTTCAAATGTACTCACCCAAAAGCACATCAGATCTTTCTCTAGCGTAGACCCCTCCTGGGACAAATTTAAAAGCTGTGCACCATGCACAGAAAAATATTTCCAGAAGATAAAATATCATGGCAACGGTCATGGTTTTCCCAGGGCTTGACCCTGAGCTAATAAGGTGTCCAAGCACTGGACGCCACATGGACGCTGTGAAGAGGGCAAGCACACAGCCAGAAACAGCGGCTGCCCACGTGGGCAGGCAAAGGAGACCCGCAGCGGAAGCCACTCCTGTTTGTGAGACAGAGAACGAAAAAGAATCAGACGGGAAAGCAGTCATAGTCTCTTCCATTTTCTTTAAAAAAAAGGGGGCAGGGGAGAGGATAATAAGCTTAGGGGATGGCTGGTTTATACCCAGAGGGACCTCAAGGGCATACTGGTCCAACCTCCAGGCTGATGAGAAACTGAGGTCTAGTGAGGTTAACGTGATTTGCTCGAGGTCGCACTGCTAGTTACTTGCACAACTGGAAGTGGAATGTGTATCTAGTAAACCTCAATCCAGTGTTATTTCTTCAGGAAGGGCGGGGGGAGGGAAGAAGGCATTTTTAGATTATTTATGTTAAGATCCTAATAGCAAAAACTGAAATTATCTACAACACCAAAAATACGTCCATTTAATTTAACCGGCCAGATCTGGGACATTAGAAAGCACAAAGAGTCAGTGTGGTTTCTAGAATGTTTTTGTTAAGGAATTTTCTAAAGGAATTTCCATCCACTTAAATGCTGCCACTTGTCCTACAATCTGCAAGTTGACTTTCCCAACCACACAGCCCTAAAAGAAGATGTGAATGAGATAGCATGGGACTCACTGCCTTAGCAGTTCTACAACCAGTTCATTCCTCGTCCAACAGCGTAGTAGGTTCTGGGGGCTGTGCAATCTGCCTGGTCCACAGCAGGCACTTACTAAATGTTTGCTAATTTGTTGAGTCAAACCTGAGGAAATATAACATTTCTCCCAGTTCCTGTGAAATCAGCTTTGAGACAGCACATCAGGGTCTTACAGCACCTCATTTTGGAGCCATTAATAAAACATCTTTCCATAGAATATGACATTTCCCAGACATTTCAATCAACGTTGTATAATTGTGACCCACCCTTCAAGGATGTCTACAGCAGACTCTTCACTGCTTGGGGCAAGAACTCCAGAAAAGGAGGAGTGGGGAGCAAGACGTGGATCCAGCCAGATTCCTAGTGTCCCATGGCTCTCATCCATTAATAAGTCCCACTTACACCTCACAGGACAATGCCATGTGACTGTCTGTTCTTCCCCCCTTCAAAAAGAACATCACCCAGATGAACATGAGAACCAGATGCCAGGGCCCTCGACAACCCATGGAGTTTAATTCCACAGTTCAGACCTTCAAATACTTAAATCCGATAATGGTTATTTTAACAACAAAAAATCTTTTTCATTTTGAAATAAATACATGTCATGTCTATTCGCTGTAGAAATTTTAAAAATACAAAACTGTAAAAAGCAATTAAGGATCACCTAAGACTGAGATGATCACAGCCAATACTCCTACGTATTTCCCCTCGGTCTTTTTCTGTGTATACATAGAAGTATTTTTATGTAAATGGAATCATACCACATATTGAGGATTATATTCTGCTTTCTATGTCACATTATATCAAGAACATTTCTCGTGTTATTAATTTTTTTTCCTAAAACATTTTTAGTATATATACTATTCCACTGGATAAATACACCACAATATAAGCAACCATTTTCCTATTGTTGGCCTTTTATGAAGCTTCTGACACTGTGAGGAACATCTTTTTTATCAATTAATCTCTTACTACATCTTTGATTATTTCCTTAAAATAATTCCTTTTTTTCTATAATTTTTTTTAATTTATTTATTATTTTTTTCCCCCAAAGCCCCAGTAGATAGTTGTATGTCATAGTTGCACATCCTTCTAGTTGCTGTAT